ATGTTTTTATATCATATTTTGACTTTAACAAATTTTTGTTACACAGATTATGTGACTGATTGAAGATGTACTGAAGCGAAATGAAAATATTTATTTAGTAGGGAAAATAATCTTTTAATTGTTTGTATATTGACCGTATTTATTTGTATTTCATTATTATATAATGTTTTTCAATGAAGATCTGAGGAGGTCAGTGACCATGCTGACGAAACGTTATCGATAATTGATGTGGTGTGTTTGTTTTTAATTACCAAATGTAAGGGATTGCTCTGCCAAACTTGTTATCAATATAATTTATACAAGAGCTAAGAACAAGTCGAACTAGGAACGGTGATTAGAATGTACGTGAGCACGGCTAAAGTTAGCTTGATTTTTCTTGGTAGCACTGGAGCGTGTGTGCAAACCAAATTCTACACTATTATGCATAGTATCTAAATTACCTGGGAAATATAAATACCTACATAGAAATACTTACTCATAGGCGTGCAGACGAACTGAGTAGGAGATATATGACAACAATTCGCATGTGAGTCGTTGGATTGAAAGCGAATTGTTGAATGAATGTTGCCTGATCATAATATCATTTGCGTTTACACTTAACAGTACATAATGTAGCGAAAATTAATTTGTAAATAAAAATAATAATGCTGTAAGGATGCAAATAAAAACACATTTAATCGGATCATTGGTTTACTTCGTATGAAACAATATCTAGGTATTATAAATTCACATAGAATATTCAATTTAAAATTACTTTGTAGAGAGTAAAAAGAACTTTCCAATGCGCTCCCATGCATCTCTATAAATTTATTTACACCAAAGATACAAAACTTTTAAGATGAACTAATTTTGCTCATGGTGTATCTACCCAGTAATGTATAATTTTTTTTTAATTATTAGATTTGTATGTACTCGGATACAACTTAATATGTGATATTCTTGAATAAAAATTTGCAGTTGAAAAAGCACAGATGTACGAGGGTGGTCCGATAAGTACTTAGCCTCACCGCCCGATGGCGCCACTCTCGCAAAAGAAATATTCTATTACGTAGTACCTTCTCGATGGTTACTCTCAAGATTTCAGCCGGATCAGAGTTGTAGTTTATTTTTGAGAGCGTGTGAAAGCAAGTATGTCTGTTGATTTTTGAAAAATGGAATAAGAGGAGTATCGGTCGGTGATTCGATTCTTGTTTTTGGAAGGGAAATCGCGCAGCGAAATCAAAAAGCGCTTGGATGCTGTGTACGGTGACTCTTCTCCTTCGATGGCGACCCTCAAAAATTGGTTTAACGAGTTTCAACGTGGTCGCACGTCGATTTTTGAAGAGCCACGTCCAGGTGCTCCGAAAACGGCTACCACGGAGGATAACGTCACAAAAATTCACGATCTCGTATTGGCAGATCGACGATTGAAGGTGCGCGAGATAGCTAAGATCGTAGGCATCTCAAAAGATCGCGTGGATCATGTCCTGCATGAAATTTTGGGCATGAGAAAGCTGTCGGCGCGATGGGTGCCGCATTTGCTCACTCCGGACAACAAGCGCAACCGTGAGACAAACTTCAGAGCAATGTCTGACGCTGATTAAGCGCAATCCGAAAGAGTTTCTGCGTCGTTTCGTGACAGTCGACGAAACATGGATCCACTGGTATACGAGGTGTGATCAAAAAGTAAGGTGAATTTTGAAATTTAGCGGGCTACGTCCGTTCGATCTTCGACTTTTTTATTTGGTTATGTCGGTACACTCGTCTAGAACATACGTTCCAAATTTCAGCTTTGTAGTATGTTTGGTTTTTTTGTGAGAGGCATCAAGGTTAGAAGTGTTTTGCGTGCTCCACGATTTGCTGCTGTCTAAAAACATGGATCAAAGAGTTTGCATTAAATTTTGTGTGAAAAATGGAATCAAATGTTCCAAAACACTTGAAATGCTGAAAGTGGTATACGGTGAGTCTACTTTAAGCCAAAAAAATGTTTACAAGTGGTATAAACTCTTCCAAGAAGGCCGAGAAGACACCGACGACGAACCTCGTTCTGGACGCCCCAGCACATCAACAACTGATGAGAATGTTGAAGAAGTGAAGAAAATAGTGTTGGGAAATCGTCGAATTACCATTAGAGAAATTGCTGATGATATTGCCATCTCATTTGGTTCGTGCCAATCAATTTTGACGAGTGTTTTAGACATGAGACGTGTGTCAGCGAAGTTTGTTCCGAAATTGCTCAATTTCGACCAAAAGAAACGTCGCATGAGCATCGCCCAAGAGCTACTGAATGACGTCAACGATGATCCAGATTTACTCAACAGGGTTATAACAGGTGACGAAACATGGGTATATGGTTATGACGTCGAGACTAAGACTCAATCGTCCCAGTGGAGGCATTCTGGATCACCAAGACCAAAAAAAGCATGCCAAGTTCGATCAAATGTAAAGGTTTTGCTTAGAGTTTTCTTTGACTGCAGGGGCGTGGTGCATCATGAGTTCGTGCCACAGGGTAGAACAGTAAATAAGGAATATTACCTGCAAGTTATGCGTAATTTGCGCGAAGCAATCCGCCAGAAACGTCCGAATTTGTGGAAAAATAAAAATTGGCTTTTGCACCATGATAACGCCCCTGCTCACACATCGTTTCTTGTGCGCGAATTTTTGGCTAAAACCAACACAGTAACGATGCCACAGGCACCGTATTCCCCAGATCTGGCCCCCTGTGACTTCTTCTTGTTCCCAAAACTGAAGAGGCCCATGAAAGGACGGCGTTTTGCCACGATTGAGGAGATAAAGACGGCATCGAAGGATGAACTAAACAAGATCACAAAAAATGATTTTTTGAAATGCTTTGAGGATTGGAAAAAGCGTTGGCACAAGTGCATTATATCCGTGGGGGATTACTTTGAAGGAGATAAAATAAAAATTGATGAATAAATAAATATTTTTTGAGAAAAATAAAAATTCACCTTACTTTTTGATCACACCTCGTACACCAGAAACCAAGGAACAGTCGAAATAGTGGACTTTACCCGGCGAAAGTGCTCCGAAGAAGGTGAAGACTGCCCCATCGGCCAGAAAGGTGATGGCCACCGATTTCTGGGATTCACAAGGTGTGATCTACATCGACTACCTTGAGAGGGGAAAAACGATCACGGGGCTGTACTATGCCGAATTATTGGGCCGATTCGACGTCGAATTGCAGAAAAAACGGCCCCATTTGGCGAAGATAAAAGTGCTCTTCCACCATGACAACGCACCGGCTTACACCTCCGCCGTCGCCATGGCCAAATTGATCGAATTAGGCTACGAACTGCTGCCCCATCTACCGTATTCTCCAGATTTAGTCTCGTGCGACTTCTTTTTGTTTCCAATCTTGAAAAAGTCACTCGCCGGGCAGAAATTTGAGTCGAATGAGGAGGTAATCGCTGCCACGGAAGCCTACTTTTCAGACCTCGAGGAAACGTATTTTTCAGACGGGTTAAAGAAGTTGGAGCATCGCTGGGCCAAGTGTATCGAACTAAAAGGAGACTATGTTGAAAAATAAAACGCCACTTTTCGAAAATTTTCGTTTTTCTTTTGTAGGCTAAGTACTTATCGGACCACCCTCGTAGTAGATTTAGAAGGTTAAGGAAATTTTTATACACAAGAATATGAAATTTTACCAAGCGTCATTATAAAAACTATATATATTTTATGAAAAGTTTTAGTATAAAATGTAGCTTCTAAGTAATTAAGAGAAAAGTTATACGTCAACAATTTTTATGGATCAGCCATGATGTCTTAGTATTATCGTAACGTATTGTAATTTTTATAATGAATTTCGTTATAATTTCTAAAATAAATTTCTTTCCTTGTACAGCCGTTTAGTTTATTGGTTGACGTTCAACATATCACCCCCTTAAGCGTAAACTCTTGCGGTATGTGAGTAGTCCTCGTGTACTTTGTCCACGGCCTAGATCTGAATTTTTACCGCGGCCTTTGACGAACTTCACATGCGGATGGTCAATCAATTGCTGTTTTTACCTCTTTTGCATTAGCTTTGTTTCTGTGCCTCTATTTAACGTGTACTCACCGCGTTTCTTCTTAAGAACCAGATTAAAAGATAGGTCAAAGTAGGCTGACATGAGGATAAGTTGACCGATGTCTAATAACTTATCAATAAAAAGACTCCGCTTAAAGATCACACACGAGAGCTGTTTACCTTGAGTTTCAATCGAATTATATAACTGAATATAGAAAGAAATTAGTTCGAAGTGTTAAAGGTGCATTTTAAATAAATTTCCTATTCTGAAAATGCAAAGTGTGCACAATTTAATATTCTTTATTGAGGAGCCTTATTTATATATTCACCGAGAATTTCTATATATAATGTCGCGAGAATCAACATGGCAAACCTATAGCTTACACATTAATTTATGCAAGTTAAGGGTTTGCCAATACTTTGTTCCCTTATTTTATAATGCTTTATCTCTATTATATCGGATTTTCCTACAGTTCTTGGTGAAATTCTGCCCATAAAAAGCTCTCGAATCTATTGCAATCACGACTAAGTATAACTAGCGAGGGCCATTTTCCAGAATGTTCCAACGAAGAGTTGTTAATAAAGAGTTGGGTTTGTGAAACAGTATGATTCGGTGAGTACGCCGTGCGGGCAAAGTTTAGAGGACACAAGATAAATGCCAAAGTAAGCATTAATTACAGAGTTCTTACTCAAAATATCAGAGCTTAACAACTGGTGGCAGGGCGCTTCTAATAGCGTTCGTCGCAATAAAGAATCACAAAGGCGAAAGCCAACAGTCGCGATAACAATAAAATTCGTGTCAAATGACTTATCGATTGAAGTAATATATCTACGAGAAATAGCTATCGGGAATGGGGCGAGTCGAACAGACACAAAGCAAGCAAACTCAATAGTCTACAAGAGTACAAGCTTTGTTGCCGATACGTAGCTGTAATGATCAGTTATCCAGGTTGTGATTGGTGACTGATTTAATGTTTGTGCTTTTTTATGTTTGCAGGGAAACAAACACGCTCAACAGCTCATAACCAGTGATTCGGTGCTAACTGGCAAATTGGCCGCATGCATGTGTAAGAGGCAACGAGAACTAGCCGCCGAGGGATGACGTTTGCATTTGGGCGCGGGTCCGTGCGACGGGGCCCCATAATCTGTATCGCCGCGCTACTCCTACTGCTGATGCTCTACCAGCTAGGCGTCATCTGCGTTGCACCTAAGGACCGATACGGTTCCGTGATGCTTGCCAAGCAGGTTGGTCTATGCGTCTCTAACGCGAGACTATTCTACTTTCACCGAAAGCATTTTCGCGTCACTGGCTGGCTGAGTCTATTACTATTCTCAGGCGGTTTAAAGAGAGGCCGACTTATTTTACATCTGTTTATCCATGCTGAAGACAGGACTAGGTCGACTCACATATTTATCTATGAGCTCTTCTGAACGACTATTTTTGCTTGACTTCGTAATAAACGCAACTTCGTAGCTAGACTACGTCAATTCCGAAGTATATTGTGCTCCCTCTCTTTCTCTCTCTCTCTCTCTCTCTCTCTCTCTCTCTCTCTCTCTCTCTCTCTCGCGTTGTCTCTTTCAGCACTCTTTCTCACTTGTATTCACTTTTTGCTAATTTCTGTACTGTGAAAATCTTCTGTTTACCCTTATGCAATTGGCCAGCACTCGGCTGAGGTTCGCTCCTGTCAAGTTTCTCTCTACTACCAAAACTTGTTAAACTGTTAGATCGCCATCCCTCTACTCCACTCTCTGGTTATGACAGACGAATAACGTAGATTAGTATCGAATAAATTTGTACCTTAGATTTTCTACTTATATATATTCTCGTTGGTACTCCTTAAGTTCTAATGCATAATGACATTTTCAATTTAACCTATCAGCGCTTAAACGGAAACTCTACGTTGTCCAATTTCAACGTGTTACTGTATGCACAATTTAATTTCAAAATTCTAAATCTATTGTCTGTTATGTTTTCAAATGTGTTCTCTCGAATGAAAATGATTGCAGATCCATTCCAGAAAATTCCAGAAAAGAATTTTAGTATCGGCATATTAAAAAATAAACAAAAAAACGTAATTTTTTTTTGAAAATTAGTTTTTAATCACTTTTTTTTGCTTTTTAATTTTTTTACGTACGTATAACTGGTAAAAAAAGTATCCATTACATCTAAACTAAACATTATTCGCATGATATTATTTTTAATGCAACGGTCCTATCTATGAGCTTGTCTCTTATTTCACTGAATCACTGCAACCCGCTAAACTCATCAGTTCTGTTTACATCAATTAGGTATTAAACGGCGCCACCTCACCTATTATTTGATTGTCTTAGTACAAGAGTCTAATTTCATGACCATATAAGGAGCGTGACGTTACATACTTATAGATATAGATATAATAGTTTTTGTTATTTGAATAAAATATGTTAATTAAGAGTAATTTTGATGAAACAAAGCATTTTTATATAGATTTTAGAACATATATTTAGATTATAATAATTATAATTGCGTTTAATTATTAAATGATATTGAATTTTAATATGCAAAGTTAATTTGTTTATTACATTGTAAATATTAATTATTAGAAAAATACGAATACTCTAAATTCATAATAAATATCTTGAAAACATGAGTAAGAATTGGTTTCATTGATAATAGTTTAATTATAACTAATATCAATAAATAAATAATTAATAATTTATTTAAACATTAAGTTGTATATAGATCGAAAGCGTTAATTTTGTACATAAAAATGACAGCTTTGTAATTTACAAATCTTAATTAATTAATATAGTAATTACATTATAAGATTATAGAAAAAACCGTTACAAATATGAAAATTTATTATAATTCAAATGTTATTGACTAATTTGAGTATTTCTTTGTAGAAATTACTTCTACAATTGATAAACTATGAATTTATGTAAAATTTTTTTTGGTTATATTGTAAATATTGTAATATTACATTAATTAACTTTATTAGTTAATAAATTTTGACGATACTATTTGTGATAATTGTAAATCATTCAAAAACGATCAATAACTAATTTTGTAAAGCTTACATGTTTTAAAATTTTAGCTTTAATGTTTATTCACTTGTAAATTTAGAAAATTCATTTCTCAAAAATCGCGAATAATTCTCGAAAATTCGAAGAGAACTGTTCTGCCAAAAAAGGCGGGAAAATTTGTGTATAAATACGCTGATTTTTGCACAGGCTAGCATTCACTCCTAGCCTTGCAAAGTGAGCGAATGAGATTGAATAAACTTGGCTAATACCTACGAGGGTCGTTTGAAAAGTCCGTGCAAAAATGAAAACTGCTTGATTTTTTTTAATAAATCTTTTGTATTTTTCAACATAGTCTCCTTTTAAGCTTATACACTTCATCCAACGCTGCTCTAGTTTGTTAATCCCTTCTAAATAATAGGATTTGTCCAAGTCTGTAAAATAGGCATTCGTTTCTGCAATCATCTTTTCGTTTGAATAAAATCGTTTCCCCGCCAGCCATTTTTTCATATTAGGGAACAAATAGTAGTCCGACGGAACCGAGTCTGGGGGGATGTGAAACGAGTTGGAACCCTATCTCCATCAGTTTTGTGGCCATAACTGCTGAGGCGTGAGCTGGCGTATTGTCGTGGTGGAAGAGGACTTTTTTGTGGGCCAATCGTGGACGTTTCTCTAGCAACTCGGTTTTCAAACGATCCAATAACGATGAATAATATTCGCCTGTCATGGTTTTACCCTTTTCCAGATAGTCGATAAAGATTATTCCTTGCGAATCCCAAAAGACAGTCGCCATAACCTTCCCGACCGAAGGAATTGTCTTCGCCTTTTTCGGAGCAGATTTCCCCTTGGTAACCCATTGTCTAGACTGTTCTTTGGTCTCAGGAGTGTAGTGATGTATCCATGTTTCATCTTAAGTGATGAAACGATGCTTAAAGTCTTGCGGATTTTTCTGGAACAGCTGCAAACCATTCTTGCAACACTTCACACGATCTCGTTTTTGGTGAATCGTGAGCAATCGCGGCACCCATCTAGCGGATAGCTTTTTCATGTCCAAATGTTGGTGCAAAATATTATGTACCCGTTCGCTCGAGATGCCTACAGTACTAGCAATCTCACGCACCTTCACTCTTCTGTCAGTCATCACCATATCATGGATTTTATCAATGATTTCTGAAGTGGTAACCTCAACAGGGCGTCCAGAACGTTCAGCGTCTTTTGTGCTCATATGGCCACTCCGAAAATGTTGAAACCACTTATAAACCATTCTAATCGAAGGTGTACAATCACCATAATGTTTATCAAGCTTCTGTTTAATCTCCTGAGGCGTTTTGTCTTTGAAAAAGTAATGTTTAATCAATACACAAAATTCTTTTTCGTCCATTTTTTTACAACCACTCGATTTCTTTGATTGAAACGAATGTAAAACGCAAAGTAATTGGCCGATCTGGCTGAAACTTGGTGTGTGCTCTTCCAAGATATGCCACTAACTGAAAATGACCTTGATACGCACTAGTAGCGCCATCTCTCTGACTTTGTACGGACTTTTCAAACGACCCTCGTAAGTTCTTTCTCTCATTGTGATTAACTAAGCAAATCCTCTCTCTTCCTATTGTAATTCATGCTTGACTTATAGAACATCTCGCGCTATAAGAAACTTGGGCTGAATTATATCCTTTATAAAAAAGACTTTAGCTCTGTTTTGAGACAATTCGCACCATAAGAAACTAGGGCAAAGTCTGTCTTTCTCTTGAAACTTTACTTACATACTTATATACATTATTTGTTGATATATTTCATATTAATAATTAGAGTAAAATTGAAAGAAACGAATTCTTACTTATTAACGCGATAAGATCGTGAGAGTACGAACTATTAAATAAATTATAAGTGATACGAACATCACATTAAATATTTTTATTTAAATAAAATAAAAAAGAAAATTTTCTTTTGTAAATTCGTCAATTTTCTTCTTCAAAAGTATAGACTTTGGTAAAAACTTCATAAGAGTAAAATGTTTTAAAATTAGTCAAAGAATCCCGTCAAATTTTTCATAAGATAAAAATGGATTTTTTAATTTTTCAGAAAATCGAGAAAATTCGAATTTTCCAGAAGTTGTCAAAAAAATCTGAAAAAATTTAAGCGTATTTTTTGGCTAATTCTGAAATATTTTTGTTGTTATGAAGTGTTTACCAAAGTCAATAGTTTTCGAGACAAAAATTATGAATGCTTGAAAAAAGCATTTCTTTGCCGGCGAATGATATTGCCATTACCGAGCTCTTACTACCAGGAGGTAAACGCAATGTAGAGAGCCTTTTCGTTTTTTGTTTTTTTCTTCAGTTGTAATATTTATCCTGCGATTCATAGAATAAGATTTTAATTATACATGTCAACACATTTTCACACCTACAGATTGAACGTGATGTAATCAAAGGAATTTGATGCACTGAATCAGAATCCGAGCTTAAAATTGCTCCATCTCCCTCATTGTTTGAGATATTTTAACCTAAAAGCGTCAAAAACATAGTTTTTGCTATTTTTCTACCCCTGTAACTTCGTGAAAAAATATTTTTCTGCAAATTTGACTACGACGGTACTTTCAAAAGCAACTCTTTCCTTCAAAATGCACTCCTCATTTTTTCAATATCTACAGCAATATGACACAATAAAGTATGATAAATTAGAATTTTTGCTAATATCATTTAAGCAGAGAAGAGATTCACTTAAAAATAATCTTTGCTAAAAAATAAAATAATATTCCAATTACTTAATTAAAGAATCCTGAACCCTGTTAGGCAATAACCTCTGACCACTACATCTCAAGTTCCTTAACCAAAGAACCCTGCTAGGTAACAACGTCAGCTCGCTATATTCCAAGTATCTTCTATCTTCCAAGTACATATCAAGTACATCTTAAGATCCTTGTACCCTGTAATAACCCCCAACCAGTACATCCCAAGTTCCTTAATCCACTAATCCTGTTCCGTGCTAGGTTTACCATTGTTATCTTTCAGCAAAACTTTCCTCTGCTTAAGTGACATTGGCGAGAATTCGAATTTATCGTACTTCAATGTGTCATGTCTGTCGAAAAAAATTGTATTGAAAAAACAAGGAGTGCATTTTGAAGAGCGTGAGTTGTTGTTAAACTCATTAACGCCGAAAAAGCCAACAATCTTAACTTTACTTTGCGTTTATTTTTGAAGTACTTAAACATTAAGAATATGTCTGAAACTGACTTACACTAT